AAAATGAACTTATACAATTAAATGAAGAAGCTTCATCATTTTTTTCTTATTCAAATGATTGTAAATTATTTCAACGTCCAATAACAATTTCATCTGATGAATTAACATATCCATTAGCATTTACTATTCTTATTCATACAAATCTTGAACAATTTGATTTTCTTTTACGAACAATTTATCGTCGATATAATCATTATTGTATACATGTTGATTTAAAATCTTCATTAACATTATATCAAGCTATAGAAAATCGTATAAATTGTGTATCAAATATATATTTACTAGAAAAACGTATTAATGTAACATGGGGTGATTTTTCTGTTTTAGAAGCTGAACATTTATGTCAAAAAGAACTTCTTAAAAAATCTTTAATATGGAAATATTATTTTAATTTAGCTAATACAGATTTACCTTTAAAAACAAATTTTGAATTAGTACAAATATTAAAATTATATAATAATCAAAATGATATTACATCATTATTATATCATTCATATTTACGACAAAGAAAAATTTTATTTAATCGAACATTACCACCAACAATATCATTACCATTTTATAAAGGTGAATTTCATGTTTTATTATCACGTTCAACTGTTGAATATATACATAAAAATTCACGTGTTAAAGATTTATATAATTTTTTAAATGGAACATCTGTACCTGATGAACATTTTTATTCAATAATTAATCGTTGGAAAGAAACACCAGGTTTTTATCCATATGATCATGATTTAAGTCAAATAACATTTATGACACGTTATAAAATTTGGAATGATCGACCAGAAGTTCGTTTATGTCATGGTGGTTTTGTTCGTGGTATATGTGTTTTTAATTATCAAGATTTATGGCATTTAGCAACAAGTCCTCATTTTTTTGCAAATAAATTTTTTCTTCAATATGATCGTTTAACACCATATTGTATGGCACAATATTTAGATATACGTACTAATATGATACAAGGAAAAAAAGATTTTTCAATGATTGAAACTGATTTTTATAAACAATTAAATAATGTTCGATTTGGAAAATAAATATTATTAAATTAAATTTTTGTTTTGAAAAACAAAACACATTGAAATAATAATCAATATGAACAATGCTTTTTTTTTGTCATTTATTTATGAGGATTATGAAATGAACAGATTATTTTCGCAATAGATTCTAGATGTCTCTTTCAGTCCATAATTGAA